CTGTGATGTACTGGAGTCCACTTGCTGGGCTCTTACTCACATGACTGTTCCTGGGTCCCAGGCAGGAGGGTGCTGTGGTGTGAGTCCTCCCCAACCTCACCCACCCCACCCTCTCATAGGGCACTCAGCAGTCGCCCTTTAGTGACCCCGAGGGGCGGGAAACGCATCCTCACTTTCTGAGGTTAAGGTAACCGGCCTTCTGGATGAGGTTCCTGTTGATCTGCGGTGCAGCCACGTCGAAGTCTGGCGTGTAAACAGATTGATCAACAGAAAGTAGTTCTTGCTGGGACACCCTCATCTTTTCTGCTTCAGCTTCCAGTTCCACCTGAATGCTTAGGAGAGAAGGTGTCAGGTCAGTCACTCAGCACTGCTGGGCAGCAGATGGCAGAGCTGCCTCCCTTCTTCCCGGCGCCCTGCCTCACAGAGGGGGCCACAGCTCCCGAAGGAGCCACAGCTCTCCACCCTTGCCCGTGGGCCTCGAGAGCTGGAGCTCAGAGACTCCAGGCTGCTTTACAATGGAATGTAAACCACTGAACAGGGCTAACCCAGCTAAACAGCTGCTCTGTTGACAAAGGTATCCATGCTCAGAGCTGCTGATACAAACTTTGGCAGAAAAGCTTTGATGAGCCTGTTCTTAGGGGCGGCACATGCAGGTGGCGTGTGAAAGTGCCGGAAAGGCAAGAAGGAAACAGCATTCATTCCTGCCCCACCCTGGTTTAGGCAGGAGCGGGGAGACGGTCACTGGAGATGGGAAAGTGACCAGGAGTGGTACCAAGGTGCACCAACAAAGCCAGGGCAATGTACTTCCTTTTAAAACAGCCACACGACTGCACCACCCCGTGGTGACAAGCTGGGTTATGATGGCCTGAACACAACCTGCCAACACGGCCCATCTATCTGAGGTATGTTCCACTCCTCTACTGTGTTAAAGGAGGTAAGACAGAATTACAAACGTTCAAGTAAGGAGTTCCTCAGGATTTCCTCTAAGAGAGTTCTGCGGTTAGTAAGTTTGGGCTGGCATACTTGTATTCTGCTGGTGGAGATCCGCATGCCCAGCGCCTGCACCGTGCTTAATGCAGCTGATGCAAGCCGCCATCTAAGTGAGGTCTGGCTACTCTGACATTTGAATGAAATGATGAGACTCCATGACTGGTGGCCTCAGGACAGGCCAGCTGGAGAACAAATCTCATTAGCTACATCTGCTTGTCACTGCCAAGGCTGATAGAATAGAGTATGAGAAAAAAGAAGCTGTACAAGAGATGGAAGGAGGGAGCCAAAACTTTACAAAACCGCTTAGGTTCTTAAGCTTCTGTGGGTGGCAAAATTCTCTGAGGACTGGATGAAAGGTAAGGATTTTCTCCCCCAGAAAAACCCTCATGTGCACTAGCAAGACAAAAAGGCATCTCTATACCCTAGAAATCATGAAAAGTACTCAAGGAACCACGTCTTATTTCTTAATGAAAAAGGCCCGGTGCTGGAGGTGCCAGGGAGCCTCGCTGAGCTCACTGACACGGACGCAGATGATAGAAGGCAAAGGGAGTCAGAGCAGCCACAGCATCCATTAAGGGTGGGCGGGGCAGTCTGGAGAGATGATACATTTTTTTAAAATAAGCAGCTGCCAGACTGAAGTACAGCTTGTTAATTCAAAAGAGGCTTACTGCCTTGTTTATTATAAACTGATGTGATGATCAGAGGTTCCTGGAAAGCTGCAGCACTTCTGCTGCTGTTAGCGCTCAAAGAAAAAAGCAATTATCCACAGCAAATCTAAACTGACTCAGGCGTCTAACAGGTGAAATTTGAATATAACAAAAGATCCTACGAACAGGCACTTGGACTTAACAGGAAAGTACCCCTGCGGACATTTTAACTGTTTACCTTTAAATGTGGTAGACAGGACCCTGGGCTCCATAGGAGCTGGGGACTGCAGAAATCGTTACTTTTTAAACACACTATTCACAAATGTGGGCAGCTAGGAAGAGGGAGCTGTTTCTGAGAATTCAGGGAGCAGACCGAAGCTCCATGGGCCCTGTAAGGCCAGAAGCACCCGCCTCCGGAATCAAAGGGGTGGATTGGGCAGGAGAGCTAAAGGCACCAGGACCCACTGGAGTGCAGCATTACCTTTGCACCATGTCCGCAACGGAGGATAAGAAGGTGTCCATACTTCGGGAAAACATCTCTGCTCCCTTCTTAAAAAAGTTAATCTGAAAGACATAATTACAATATTCTGAAAATAGGAAAGGGATGGATGAATTCCTTAACCGTGAGACTGACACTGGGGGCGGCCTCCTCGCCCGCAGCACTGGCAGCATCTCCAAGAGCCCCACCCCACTGCTGAGAGTTACTCCCAAAGCCCCGGGTGCACGTGTAGAAGGGGGATGGCAAAACCTGCTATCTTGCCAACAGGCTATAAAGCTCTGGAATCATATAAGTTAAATGCTTGGTATCTACCAGGTGTGCCAATAATTACTACTGATAATTATGGTATTATCATCAGCCTCTTTCCTGTGTGAATTCTAGATAGTGGGTTTCCTGAGGGCAAGGATTGGGTCTTTTTCACCTGTGCACCTTCGGGGGCTAAATCGGTGTGTGGCAAGTGACATACAAACAGCACAAACAAGAAACAAGCAGCATGAGGTTCTCAGAGAGGTGAGGGCCACCATCTGACGACCCCATTCACTGAGCCACGTGCAGCTCTGAACAGAGGCTGCACGATGGTGACATGGCTCCAAAATTCCAGAGGGAAAACTGAAGACCCTTAAAAGGCTCCTCCAACACTGACGTCAGCTGAAAGGGGACCGTGTCTGTAAAGAACACAGCAAGGCCCTGGCACTGCATAGGTGCTCAGTGCAGGAGGAGCCCCTTTCTGCTCCATGTTCTATGATGGGTGCCCTCTCTGCCCGGGGAGACCTGCGGACTGCACAGTTTAAAAGTGAAACCGCAGCTGCTGACTTTCGGAGCCAATCAAGGACTGACTGCTCTACTTCCTGTGACTTCTGGCCATTCACTTCCCGCAGGTTGGGCCCCTGACAAACCTTGAAGGGCAGGCGTTTGGGAAAGGGAGGAGGACTACCTGTGTGCCTCACTGGCATCTGCGTCCATCCTGCCCGAGAAACTCGAGCTGCCATCTCTTTCTATGGCTAGGCCTTTAAAAAGCTGCTTATTGATCTGAGCTGCTCCATTTTACATGCCTGGCTGTAGAGGAGCAATGGCTGCAAACCTACGTCATGAAAGAGAGAAAACACTCAGCTTGGACATGGGTCTTCTCTCATGTCACCCAGCGTGTCGGTCTGACCTGGAAGCAGCCCCTGCCTGGGTGGTGGGCATGGACATTGACCTCTCACCCTGAGGAGGCTGGTAGGTTCTGAAGCCTGGGGAAGTACATACACACATGTCCTTAGTTCTCATGGTACAGAAACATAATGATCAGATTATCCTAATGCCAGGTATTCACACAGGGAGATGTTCTGGCCCCATGATCTTTGAATCATAGAGATGAACATTCTGAATCCTTGAAATGCTACATATCAAACTCTGTTAAGTGAGCATTACGCATTTCTAAAAGCACAACTTCATGGTGGCTTTTCCTCTCCTTCCCCTCCCTGAACTCCTTGGAATTCATGCTCAAGTCCATGTCTGATCTCCTCCACTATCCTCTAAGTTCCTAGGGCAGGGCTCCCATATTCCCTCAAAGATCTGATGAATGGACAGAAGGGTAAGATGCCAGCTCCTACAGTCATGTTACATATCACTTACCCTGAAAATACTACACTAGAGTTCACTGTGTGCTCTCGTAAACCTGGACATGATGACAACACCTCAGCTGGTTTGCAGGCAGGAGGGCCAAATCATGACAACCGGAAGCCTGTTTACCTAGGGCCAGGGAAGGCAGAAATGGAATCGGACAACCACCACCAAGGTGGGTGGCGAGGAGAAGTCTGATTCAGAGGAACATCATCCAGACACCCCAGTTCACCGCCTTCGTGAGCAGTGGGAAGTGTAACGGTCAAATGACCACCAGCCAACAAAGGTGATGTTCCATGAACACTGATTTAAAGGGCTGCTTCCAAATCGTCCAAAGATTCAGGGGGTTAGACAGCAACCTGGTCTGAGAGAAAGAACTGTACTTTCACCAGAACTAAGAAGTCTGCAGGGTGAGGGGCTATTTGGTCTATGTCTTGAAATCTGGATACTTTCCACATGACAAATGAAACGTGCCCTCCTTAGTCCTCACGATGCTCCCACTGCCCCACAATGACGGTGCGCTCTGCTCCGCTCTCCCAGGCCCGGGGCGCGTTTGTGCTACTGCGCCCAATCTCCTCCAGTCCCCTGTGGCCAGTGGCATTTGCTTCCAAGGGCCAGGCTGGGGAAGTGGTGTAGTCCTCAGCCTCGAAGAGTGAAAGCAGCCAGGTCAAACCCACCCTTTAGATCTTTTCAGGACCCTCCCCTAACAACCAGGCTCCCAACGCTGTCCCAGGCCTGCAGCTGAGCATCTTTCTGACACTAAGTTCCAGACACTCCCTGACCCTGGGCCTCTAATGAGCAGGGATTACTGCTCCAAAGGCAAGGCCTGTCAGCCCAGGGGGACAGGCGTGACCGGAGGTGCTAACTAGAGAGAGAAGCAGTACTGGCATTCTCTGACAAGTAGGACATCCACCAGGGCAGAGCTGCAATATTTAGTGGAAGAAAGGAAGGCAACAGAGGAAACACGTGTGGGCACAAGTGCCCATCATGAGGAAGCGGGCTGGCCCCAAGGATTTCCTGAGGGCTGGAGCCCACAGCTAGGCCAGCTACTTTTTGGCTTACCCCAGCTTACTCAGATGGCACAGAAAGATTGTACTGTTCTATTAAGTATCACCGCTGAAGGCATACAACAACTTCAGTGCCCTCATTACCCAACTGGTAATAACCACATTAAGATGGCGGACAACTGAATTTGGATGTTAAAAAAATCCTCTATTGTTCCCCCTTTCCCCGAATGAAAATGACGTATTTTAAAATATATATATTTTAAAAATGTATTACAAAAATAATAGGTGTTCACATGGGATTTTTAAAAAGTTGCTGACTTTTCCTTCTCAACATTTTGCTTCCTCACATCCCTTTCTGTTTCTAGATCATCATTGGAGAGAAGGTTCCAGGTGCGTTTCTCACACATGGGAGTGAGGTCTGGAGCTAACATATGTGGGACTAAAGTAGGGCAGGAACAGAGGGCGAGGGCCAGTGATGCTAGCCTCACATTCCCAGGCACTCCTGTCCCTGCCAGGCTGGTGCCACAGTCAAGGCCCTGTCCTGAAACTGGGACCTCCTGTAGACAAGTGTTCCGCAGACCAATAAATTTGGGGGATAACCAAATACTCTACAGCGACTTCATCAAGCACCAGCAACATTTTCTCACACCCTATGTGCCAAGGCGCTGGCATTCACGTCAGCCATGTACCACCCGAGAACAGCCCTGCTCAGGTGACAGTACCACACAGAGCAGCGGAGGACTGTGGAGTCCTAGCTGGCGAGCCTGGCTCTACAACCTGAACAGGCAGCTGCTTCTCAGACAATCGGGCTAGCCCTGGCTGTCACTTGGATCAGAGACAAGGGCCATGCCAGCTCCTCCCCACAGGAGACATGGGATCAAGGTCATCGTTTCCTGCATGTACAGCCCAGCAAGTCCAGCTAAGGACGATCCAGCCCACCCCCAAGCTAAGTGCTGAGCCTCAGAGAGCTTCAGGGGAGCTGTGCATGTTTCCTCCTCTGTGCTCCCCCAGAAGAAGGCCACACCACGCTCCACAGGTCCAGCGCCTCAGGGGAAGCGCAGCCTACCTGTCCGTGGGCAAAGCCCAGCATGGGCTCCATCATGGCCATGCGCTTCCTGTACTGCAGGGCGTTGAGGGCACAGTAGTACTGAAGGGACGACAGGTGCTGTTTCCGACGGGCAGCTGCCACCTCTTTTACCACTTCCGTCTTCACCTGTTGGGGTGAAAGGACAACTTCAAGTTGCAACGGATGTGGCAATTCGGTAAGAGCTCGAAATTTCCAAGCATGCTTGTTTCTACACGAGAACCACAGGTAAGGTTCCACCTCATGTTCTGAAATGTCCAGATTGAAGACAGCAAAGTGACAGCATGTCAGTGTTGTGAGGCTTCGCTGCGTGAGCTGGTACATTCTCCTGTAGCACTAGGAGTGCCACAATCCATTAGGAAAACATGGCCAGTACACTGAAGGCCACACACATTCTGGGTCACTTGTGAGGCTATTCTAAGAAAATTATATAACGGAAATAAAGGTTATATGCCTAAAAATAGTCAATATTATCTAGAGCAGTGGGTTAAAGAACCAGGGTCAACAAGTGCCTGAGTGTCTATGAGTCAGATAATCATGTGAGGTACCCAGCTTAAGTTAAAATCATAGTGTGATTATAATTTTACAATGGTCCCAATTTGGTGTTTGAAAACCAGTTTTTAAAGCTAGAATTGGGAAGTGAAAATCTACTTAGGAGATTTAGAATACAAAACTAAAAAGTCCACATATAGGAAAAACGAGAAGAAATTCACCAGGACACCCTCAATGCCACAAACTCCCAGCAGGAAAAGTCGAGAGGAGCTATGTGAGGTGAAACCACACAAGGCAGGAAGTCTTACCTTCCCATTCTCTCTCTTTTTAGGAAGCCTGCTATATTTCGCCATCGAGAGGTCATGCTCTACAAGTAAAGAGACATTTTAGCACCGAAGTGGGCTGAGAGGCAAGAACGTCATTAGTGTGTCTGCCCCGACACTAAATCCGCCCGCATCGCTAACCCATACTAAGAAGAGAGGATGCCTACCATTGCTGGCAAGTCCGAAAAGGTCCTTTAAAGTGCTGACTTCTGCACAAGAGAAAAGAGAGATCTTAGAGCAAAGTGAAACAAAACAAGCCAATCCAGAGCTTTGTGCTTGCCCATGAAAATAAAGGTGTGCAGTGCTCACGAGGACAGGGAAGGCACTCCCAGCACCTCAGGGCCTCTGCCCTCACAGGGCCCTTGCCTGTGACTGGGAATCCTGGTCTCCCTGGAGCTTGTGGCTTCAGCTGAACCCCACTCAGGGACTCTCACTGCCCATGGTGCACGGAGCCAGTTCTCTCCAGACAGCATGTGAGGATCTACGAAGGAGAGGGCCCTTAGGGACAAGGGTAGGCTCAGTGCTATGCATGGAGACCTGGAGTATAAACGTAGGCTCTGATGCTTCAGCCCTGAGTGTTTTCACACATCTTTCCTAAGAAAGCCCTGACTAGACTCAAATCCTAGAAATTTCCTGTCATTTCAATTTTAACATCTGACAAAAAAATACAGGGTGCTTGTTTTAACAAAAAAAATTAAAGCAATCTAGTATACTGCACTTGCAACAAGCAACACTAATAACGATTACCCCATGTGGGCCCTACCCCATCATACACAAAGATGGCTAAACAAAGTCAAAGAAAACCCCCCTCCCCAAAAGATCAATGAGAGCAATGGGAGTCCAAGGTTAAAAACTCCAAAGCACAGACACCTCCAAGAAAGTGATGCGTCCTACAGTTTTAAAACTCTCCATTTTTACTTTGTCAGAGCAAAGCATTTCTGCATCTTCTATGTGGCTTTCCAGTATTCCTCAAAACTGTCTCCAGCTTTCAATCTCTCTTCACCTCATATTTACTCTCTCTCTCGTATCGGCTGCTTCCTGCCTCTCTTCTCGCATTTTTCCTTATTTCTCTCTCCTTCTCCTTCCTATTGGAGCAGAGTCATGATGTTTTTCCTTATCAACTTTAAGTAGCTTTCCTCATATTTCTTGTGCTGTCCTCACTCAGATTATGTACGTGTATTGGGGAGCAAATGAGTAAGGCAGCAAAGTGAAACACCACCGTCCCAGGAGAGGGTGCAGGTTCTAAACTGGTTCTGACGCTGCACCGACACTTCAGATCCGTCTTGGTGTCATCAAAAAAGGATACTTTAATTTTTTCAATGATACTAAGAAGCTCTTTTTACTAATAGTTTATTCTCCTTTAAAAAAAAACAAAAACCATTGTGGATAAATACTCCTAACCCACATGCTGAGCTCTCCCTGATTAATGAGACCCTTGTCACTAAGGCTATGTGGGACATTCTCAACCCCAGGTTTGCCTCCCAAAAAACAAAGCGAAAAGACATAAGTCTGACAACACAGGTCTTAGGGGGGGTGATTATTTTCTTTCCAGAAGATTTGTTTAAAAAATGATATCCCCAGCTACTTCTAATAATTTTATTTAGAGGAAATCTTTTTTAAAAATGTACCCAATGAGGCTTTTGGTTGGTATTAATCTGCACATGATTGCATTCAGCAGGTTTGGACTCTGTGTGATTATAGATGAGCAACACTAAAAGCCCTGCTAGATCAAAGTTTCTCTTTATACAAACTAACTGACATTCTTTATCAAGAGTTAGTGCTGTCACACTGCCCCTGGGAAGAGTTTATGCCAGTTCCATTATTGCCCCTACAGCCTCAGGTGATATGATCAC